CCAAATCCTACTGGTGTATGAATCTGGACGCACGTTAGGCGAATGCCTGTTTTCGTCCTAGAAACCTGACTTGATCACTACACAATACGCCTTTCCGGGGAACTCGTCTCACCGACACAGCTGCGGAGCTTCAAATGCGCTGACTTCGATCACTGACACTGAATTTGAATTTCAGCACTGCAAATTGGGCCAGTTTTCTGGTGTCTGGAGTACTTGTATCTCAATGAAATTTTTGTTTTCGTGGCGTTCATAACCATATGCTTCATGCAATGTAAGTTTGTGGGGTGAGGAAATAAGAGCTGATGAGAAAAGTGTCCACTTCGGTGGTCCGGAAGTTGAAAGCTCAAGTATCAGTTCACGAAACCCAATACCTCATCGTAGTTATGCGGGTAGTAGCTCCCGGCGCATTCTTTGCCAAAAGGTAAGCTATCTGCATTTAATCAAACCCATTGCTGTTAACATGCATCAAGAAGTGACAGCCAAGGGAAAATCTAAGATAACCAGCTCAATTGTCACTCAGCAATAATGAACAGATAAGAAAGACAGTCAGTCGTTGGACGAGTGCGTGGAAATCAGTTTTTTTTAAATATTGGATCATCTGGTCCGATCGTATCTTTGGGATTCTATATATTGCGCTTCGCGTCATCTCGCATGACTATATCATCAACTCTATTCCTGTCTCCGCTTTGCCCATTTCGTTTTATGGGTTCAACGTAGGTTTTCTCAATCTATTCAACAGGCACTTTAAGGTCATTGCCAGAACTTGTGACGCGTAATTATACAATGATATTTGTTTCCTCATCCAGCGCAATTCCAGGCACTTACAAGCGCCTCAACGTTGACCACCTACCCCGATTTCTCTCTGTCACACACAACTTATTGCCTTTAATGTAGGAATATCGTTACGCTGAACTGTTTATTGTTCACATCTTGATGTAGCATCTTGCACCATAACTGACGTATAGCTGATACATGTCTGTCGCCCCTGCTGAACGAACCCGCGCTCATTTGGACGAAGCGATTTGGCGTGAATTGCCTACGGAAGCAATGTGTTGCACTACCGATCCAAAGCTACGAAAAAAAGAAACACCAAATCACGGGATTTCACTAGTTATCACACGTTAAAGCAAATTTAATATGTACAAAAATGTGTGAGAAAAATCGTCGATCGTCCGTCAGTTCCATCCGGATGTATATGCGGTGCAAGACTGAGCGATTCAGTTGACCATGCAAATGAATGTGAAACACATTCCCACGAAGATGGTAGTGGTAGGAACAGTCGTACGAACTCGATTGAACGAGGCGGATGGGAACAAAGTCAACAAACAAGCGACCTGGTTAGTGCCCGTCCATATGCGCACATCGATCAGAGATGGCGGGAGTGGGGTGGGGTGGGTTAAAGTTAACAAATGAAGAAAATAACCAAAGGCTGTCTACATTTCAGATGTTTTTTAGGGTAGTGGTGGGACATACGAATTATCTACCAGAAAGAGAAAGCACGACGCGGAAAAAATGGATGGATTTGGTTGCTTGTCCAGACAGAACCCTGGAGGAGGTAACAGAAATGAAATGGAACAGAGACAGAAATAGACTGTATCGAATGGTGATGATGATGATGATGACTGTGCGTGCACAAGTCCAAATCCCGTGTGTATTGTGTCCAGGGCTATGAGAACAAGGAGAGAGAGGGACTAAGTTGGCTGATGTACCACGGATCGAGGAGACGATTTCGGACTGACCGTTTTAGACTGAGCCAGTTGTACCATCTCAGTGCTCGACAAAGTGAGCAACGGGGGCAAACCTTTTGGATGTGAACCCAACGGAGTGAGCCGTGTCGTACAATCGGTGTTGGAAAACGGTCCCTGACCGGATTCACTGCGACAAGAACTGGACTGAGCGATCGGGATGGGAACACGAACTACAGAGTTGGGGCTCATAGTTGGCAAAATGTCCGCCGTCGACTCAAGATGCTTTGGGGATGTGGACGTTGGCAGATGGGACTCGTTCAGTGTCAGCGACGGAGAAATGTCTGCAGCCTGTTTTACAAGTTGAAATCGGAGAATAAGATGGAAAAAAAGGCGAGGATGATATGAGGGTTTTGAGAAGGGACAAAAAATAGGCACGCAACCAATCAAGAGTAAATCGCTACCGGCTACTCATAAAATTAGGATCAGGTAGCAGAAAATAAAGTACTGATAAAAATAAATGAGAAAATATGTCATCTTTCACAAAACATCAATGAGGCTAAGAAAAGCAAGCTGTATTGAGACACAAGGCAATGATAAAATCCCAGGAATTCGACCGTTTCTAACGAATATGACCTTAACTATAAACGCTGTAGGGATAAGGTAAGTTTGATTCACAGTACTTCATTGTATGATGGTGACGATGCAGCCTGTGCCGTAAGAAAATCCCGAGAAGTGGGTTTGAAGTTGCACCGAGCCAGCGATACGCAGTTACGTGTACATCGACGAAAACATTCAAGAAAGAAGATTAGGAGATAGTGAGGGAAGGATATCGGCATACAGACAGACACCTTAGGAATAAAAAAGAGATGACAATTATCGGTTACCGGACTAAGCTTTGCTGTCTACCAGCATAGTTTGGTGAGGGTGAAGAATTGAGCCAATCTGCGACCTTGCGGGGCGGCCATGATGTTCTACTGCCCCTTAGGGGAAGAGTGTACATCGCTGAGGTTCGCAGTGCCCTGCTTTATTGGGTCACAGCGTTAAGGACGTTAATCGACTTTATGTTTACGACCAGCGATGTACTCGAAGCATTGCTTGAGTCTGGTGGGAACGTGGAGTGAGTGATGATGAGTGGGTGTGGATGATCGTTCTATAAAAGAAGTAATCGCTTTACATAGCCTCCGACCACTTGGTCACGTTTTGTTTATGCCTGTTCATCGTTTACTGTTCCGTGCTCTTTTTGCACGTCTTGGGTAAGGCAGGAAGAAGTGCCGTGCGGTCAGTCCATGACAAGGAGCAGAGGTGTGAAGAAGCTAGCTTCAGCTTTGGTTTCGGCTGGTGCAGTCGGCCTTCTAGGCTTGGTCCCAAGGGACAAGGACTATCGTTGGTTAGAGAGGTCGAGAGATATGGGTCGGTGAAACAAGCAAAAAATTGTTAGTCATGCCATTCGTTTGACCTTCATTTCCCTCTCTCTCTAAATATATATATATATATATTTGTGCCATGTTGCCAACACTTCGAAGGTTTATCCACAAGGCAAAGTTGTCATTACATGGAAGAAAGTTGTCCAAACGTAAAGCGCGGACAAACCGAGATCTTTAGTTTCGCTAAAGTTGATATAAAGGAAGCAAAAATAAAAGTTTTTTAGCGTGCCTACGCAAAAGAACCTGTAATCGATGACAACAGTGGGCAAAATTTTATTGACCAGAATCTCAACTGTCAGATTGGTTATACAAAACAACAACCGGAACATCAAAAGGTTTCGAATTAGGACTTACAGCGAGATCAATCTGCAAGTTACCAGGCGATTCTGCCTCACCGACTGAGGGTGAATGTGATTCGCCGGAACGATCCAAGTGAGCCAAATTAGATGCACTATTTACTTCGGGAGCTGGGTCCGATTTCTTCGAATCTTCAGACAGCACTTCAGTGACAGTGCGCTTGTTTGCCATCGAAGCGGTTTTTCCGCTGTCCTCCACAGGAGCACTCGTGTCGATAAACCAACCGGAATTCAATATTTTTGCATCTAGAGGTAACCGTGCACTAATATCATGAGGTAGACGTGTACCATTTGGACGAGACAACGCAGATATCTTTTTTTCTTCGGCCTCGCCAGAAGTGGGATCGGCCAAGATTGGTGCAGATGGACTGACGGTGGCAGAGTCCCCGGAGGCGGGTGCAGTATCGGAGTTCCCTTGAATAAAAAGGTAAGAGTTGCTTCGATCGCGCTTCTTCAAGGGTCTTCCGGCTGAGGGCAGGACGTCTGTGGACGGTGTATTGCCTGGTAAGCGAATGAAATCAAAAATAACATCCCAATTAAATAATTAAATCACGGGAGCGGAAATTACATGATCAAAAGGTATAACTGAATACTCACTCGAGGCAGTGGCGGTATTGAAATGCGGTGATTCCGACTGGGTTAAAGCTACATTGTCTCCAACCGGTAGACCGGAATCCGAAGTTTGAGAGCGTATTTGAGCACGAATCTCCTCCGCAATTGCCTGAAGAATCAGAAACAATAGCGTCAAAAATCGGTTGAGGTGATGGGGTCTGACCCAGATTATCGTACGAAGCGGAAATTGTAAACTGCTAACTGTTTCTCTTTATCTGGGAGAGCAACCGGGAGTCACAGCTGTACCAAATTTTATTAACTGGGGTTTACTGTCACGGAAAATTTCTGGCTATTCAAAGCTTTACACTTACAATGCCAAGTATAGTGAACCTGATTGCAATAATATCTCACTTATTTCTATTAGCAAACTTGGAGCGACACTGGGGGTGGGGTGAAGAACCAGCTAACTGTGTGCGACATAGAGAGCATGTTTTGGATCGAAGCAATCTATTCAGAGAGATGGCTGACAATCATAGTCCTGAAGAACAAGATGGAAAGGACTACGAGCATTGGGATANTTGGGATATTTTTGGTCAATAATGTATAACATTGCTGGGCAAAATAAAGTGAAGGTTTGGGTAGAAATTGAGAGAATGCAGTTGAAAGAAACAGTCCGAATAGTTCACACTCCATGAAAATGTGAATGGTCCACGTTAGATGCGTGTGGTTTTAACCCAGAAGACGATGTTTCAGACATATGACGCTGCAGATATCGCCCCCTGAGCTCATCTGTGAGCCGTATGAAGTCCAACAAATTTTCTCCACAGGGTGATCAGTCTACAGAAACCCTGTAAACTTGTGCGGGATTTGTGAAATATTAGGGACGAAAAACATGGTCACGAAGACTGTTTAGACATGAGAACTGGTAATCAAGCCCCCCCCCCCCAGGAG